AGCCGCCGCCATCACGTTCAGGGAGCATCTGTAGGATCCCTGTATCAAACTGTCATTCAGGGCTGCTCTTCGGATTGGAAAGAATGCCGCCACTTACCAGTCAGTTACAAGATTTTCGTCAAGGGCGTTCATGACCGCCATATCGTCATCCGATATCTGGAACCCATTGACGTTGGCGTTTTCAATGAGACGCTCTTTGCGAGAGCTCTTCGGCAGCGTGACCATATTATGCTGCAAAGACCACCTGCAGCGTCCTGTTAGCGCATGGCATGTAATGACGTGCATCACCAAGAACTGTCCGGCAATCAAAAGCCTACCTGACAAGTAACTGGGCCGGGCTGCACGAATATTTTCTGGAGAGCTGGATAATCTCGGGGTGTTTCATCCGCATTGCGCGTGCCAGTGGTGCGTAAGCTTCGATTGTGATGTTGTATTTGGCGCAGGTCTCCCTGATGGAAGTTTGCGTGTTAAAGGGGTGAACCTCGATTTGGTTAATGACTGGCTGGATACGGGGCTTCGATGCCATTAGCTCTTCGATCTACATGGTGCGATTAGCCTCGAGAGTTGGGCAGATGAATCTCAACAAGACTGACATGCTTGGAGCCGTAGTTGCTGACGCCGCCTAGCTTGATCTCGCCGTCGTCAATCGCATCCTCGATCGCCTTCCAGCTCGTAAGCCGAGCTTCCTTCCCGCCATAAGGACTGTGAAGTAGAAAGAGGTCGATGTAGCCAAGTCCAGATGCTTTGACTGAGCCTTTGATCGATTTGCGGACTGCATCGTACGACGTTCCATTGCTCGCCAACTTAGAGGTGTAGAATACGTCCTCACGAGTCAAGCCATGCGTGTTTTCGTTGCTCGCAAGAAAGTCATGAATAGCTTTCCCAGCCTCAGACTCGTTGTGATACATTTGAGCGCAGTCAAATCCGCGATAGCCGGCGGCGAGAGCCCATTTGACGGATGATGTGGCCTCTCTGCCAGACATCATGTAGAGGCCTAGCTGAATTTGCGGGATCGTAGCACCATTTGAGAGCTGGGAGAGTGTCAGTCAAAGGACCAAGCCTGCAGGGTACGATCACTGCCGCGAGTGATGAGGCCTTCATGGAAGCCGAAACGTAACCCAGTACTTGACAGCAGCTGTGCGAGGGGTATGGTTGGACTGGTATGTAAAGAGCACTGACCTTGGCCTTGGTACTTAAGGAGAACTTGGTAGACGCCATCTTGATTGCAAATTTCGTCCAAACTTGGCCCCCTTCACTGGCAATGTTATGCAGACGATGTAGGCGAATTGACAAGTCGTCGGGTGACGAGGTGAGAATGTGCCTCGTGCCCAATTGTTCGCATTGTCTAGATGACATCATCTAGGTTCGGGGTGGGGGCGGGGCACTGGCACGAAAGCCTTCCATCAAAGTCACGTCAACTGGGCAAAGATATTTTTTGACGCCCATATCCTCATAACTGCGGTGAATACTCAGCAATCTACCGTGGCAGAAGAAGGTGGCATACAAATAGAGATGCTCTCGACATGACCTTGATGCTCACTTCTTGTCTGACATCCAGCCAGTAAGGGAAGGACAGCCAACACTTGAATATAGCCAAGGACTCAATATAGTCAACGATTGGGCGGACGATCGGTTCGTCAAACATGAAATAAATATCTCCAGGAACCTGAATGTCACAAGGAAAGCTTGAAGACGCCGCATACCCCTGATAGCCACTTTGAGGTGCGGTCTACCGAGACTGGTTCGTCATCCTTCTCTTCGCGCCAGAGGTACAAGCTGTGGCCGATCGCCATGTCTGTCCGTATCGGCTATCATATAAAGTAGCCTAGGCCAGTCAGGCCAACAATCGCGCCTTGAAATCATGAGTATGCAGAGACCTTTAGGCGATCAGTATCATCGAGGCCACTCCCAAAGGGTTCGAGATCAACGAAGCAACAACATGGCAATGAGCTTGGGAACTTCTAAACCTATAAAACTACTGCCAGACGGAAAGGGAAGATGCTACTGATGATACACTCGAGGCAGTTCAAAAGATTGTTCGTCAATCTCGATCCGCGAGAATAAGATTACTTCGACCCGAAAGTCGCCCCGGACGGAAGGTAAGGGGGTGATTGTTGAGGGGACAAGCCGTTCGTAGTATGAGATGGGAGGCTTCTTGAGAGTATGTATCACATGTAAGCAAGAGACTGTCGTGAAGATGAGGACTATGAGTGGTTGAAAAAACTGCAACTGATGGCACTTTGTGTAACATCCCTTAACCCGGAGGGAAAGTATGCTGGCCGGCCAACACTGATTGGGGGAGCGCCACACTGCACGTTGAAGCGATCTCGTGGATGTTAGAGAAGACGCCCGATCAGTAGGGTTAAATTCTATGCAACAGCACGATCGCGGCACGATGTATCTGGGACAAACCACCCCACAGCCGCTCAGTGACCAATCCAGGGGCGGCCCATAGCGCCTTCGGGGTCTTTCACCGCTAGCGTCGCAGGGCAGCCCGATCGATAGTCTGTCAATGGAGCGCGAGACCAGTTTCTCCCGATTGAGCTTTGCAACTTGTGTCGACACCTCCTAGGTAGGTACCCTATCGACAACTACGTCCCAGAGTGTGAGCCATTGGGCATATCTGGCTTCAGCCCCCATTCGAAAACCGTCGAACCATGGACATGTGCTCTCGTCACGACAAGGTCTTCTACGGACATCTCTCGAGATCGATCCCCGGCGGGGTCTCCCCACTTCTCGATGCCCTGTCGTCCTAAGGGCGCATCCGTCGACCTTCCAGCTGTGGGCCTTAAGTAGACGTTCAACAACCACTGTAACATCATTGACATCGCACTCTAACGAATACCATATTCACAGTCATCCGAGTAAATCGGAAAAAGACAAGAAAAATGGGATCTACAACCACCAACACAAGTCTGCCGTGGATGGAAACGCCACTAATCCCATCGCCTCACCTGTCGCGGGCCGCCGGCTGGTACGTTATCCAAGGCCTTGACGCTCCCTGTGTATGACATGCGTAGCAGGCCTCCTGACATATGAAACATAGCAACATCTACCTTAAGCTTGAGAACCTCCAGCCCTCAGGCTCGTTCAAGTCCCGCGGTATCGGTAACCTTATGCTACAAGAGATAGCTTCCCATCCCGATGGGCAGAACCTGCATTTCTACAGCTCCTCCGGCGGCAACGCAGGCCTGGCCTGCGCCACGTCAGCCCACGCGCTCAACCGGCCCGCCACAATCGTGACGCCGACCTCGTCCTCCCCGCTCATTGTCTCGAAGCTCCGTCTCCTCGGCGCCGAGGTCGAGCAGGTCGGCGCAAACTGGGCCCTCGCCGACAAGCACCTGCGCGAGAACCTCGTCGCCGGCCGCGACGACGCCGTCTACGTGCCCCCCTTCGACCACCCACACGTCTGGGACGGCGCGTCCACCATTGTCGACGAGCTCGTGAGGCAGGCCCCCGGCGCCATCCACGGCATAGCCTGCTCCGTCGGCGGCGGCGGCCTGCTAAACGGCCTGTTCCAAGGTATCGAGAAGCACGAGGCCGTCCGCGCCTCTTCGAACCCGCCGTGGCCCGAGGCGCGGCGGCCCTCCGTCCTCGCCGTCGAGACGCGCGGCGCCGACAGTCTCAACGCCAGCGTCGAGGCTGCCGAGCACGTCACCCTGCCCGGCATCACCTCCATCGCCAAATGCCTGGGCGCCGTCCGCGTTTCGTCCAAGACATGGGAGTGGGCCCAGCGCAAGGCCCGCCTCGGCCCTTCCGAAGTCACAAACGCTACGGCCGACGGTCCTGCCGAGCTCGAGAGTGTCGCTGTTGACGACTCTGAGGCCGCGCTGGCCTGTGTGCAATTTGCTGACGACACGCGTTTTGTGGTTGAGGTTGCGTGCGGCGCAACAATCGCAGCTTGCTACAACGGCCTGTTGCGGCAAAGACTTGGCCGGGGCTTGACTGACAAAGAATGGCGCCATAAGAACATTGTCGTCATTGTCTGTGGTGGCTCTGATGTCAGCCTCGAGGTTCTTGAGGGCTACAAGCGAGACTATGGCTCTGCAGCCTGATGTTGTTAGCCCGAGCACCATGTCGCTGACACCATTTCACATGCTTTCCAGCATTGCATTTACAATTCCTGAGATACCATAGTCGTCACAATGGACACGAAGGCGAAGGGAAAAGGTATACTTCAATTATGTTTACTAGTACTATTGTGGCGGTAGCACATCTCTTGTGTGGTCATAGACGAAAGGGAAAGCAGGCAGAACCATAGTGCAGCTCACGGCTCAAGGTCGACCTCGAACGATCAACCTTAGCACGCTTAAGTAGAAGCGCAAAATCTCGACGATGCTGCCACGGAAGGATGTACTGCTGTCAACAGCTTCTTCTTGTGCAGCTGCCAAGCACATATAGGTAGCATCATAGACTTCTGACAAATCGTCCTTTTCAACCTCCGCCGCCTTCGAAAGCGCAAGGAGGCACTGCCAGTCCCGATTTGGTATTACGTCTGTGGCCTCAGAGTATTTTCGAGAACGATTAACATCATGGTAGGGGTCTTCCATCGACCGTCTCGGTCGAGTGTTGTCCATATCACGAAGGGTTGTCAAAATCTTCGCGAGCAACTGATTGGTCTCACGTTGATCCATGTACCGAAGGCGGCGGCTGCCTTGCTCTTGTTGTGCGTCTTTGCTCGACAATTCATCTTGGTCATCTTCGTCAGAAGAACCCCCGTCGTCTTCCTGTGGCAGTCCAGCCTTCGTGTCGTCGTCTGAGAGCTCGCCGTCGGAGAGATCGCCGTCGCCAGAGAACCCTTCGTTATCGTCTGAAGTCTCGTCGTCAGGCTGTCCATTGCCTTCGTCTTCGCTTGGCTCCTGGTTTCTCCATGCTGCCGGGAGTTCCTCAATCTGAACTAGCTCATACCCACAAATAGCCTCACAGACTTCGATTTCAGGGTCACATTCGGGGTCCATCCGACACACATACTGCGTCTCACAACGCCCGCAGCAGCAATCCTATTCGAGGCGAGTGCTGAGAGGGAGGTTTCGGGATGAGCTCCCGACAAAGACCGTCTTTTCGTACTGGCTGATGAACCAATTTTGCGTGACAACATCCCAGTTGCTGAGGTCCCGGCGCGTGAGTTCCGCACGGAAGGTTTGCGAGGCTCCAGGCGCGATGTGAATGCGGTCGAACCCACGGAGGACTCGAATCGGATCGTCAGGTCCACCAAGAGAAACGTAAAGCTGTGCCACTTCGTCCCCAGCAACCTTACCCGTGTTGGTCACGGTCGCGGTGACCGTGAATATGACGTCCCAAAGCATTGGGTTGCCTCCGGGCCCTCCAGAAGCTGGGAGCCTAGGCTGCGGTGAGGCATCAAGAGCGCCCTCTGGGAGGAACTCTTCTGCAGTTTGGCCGTATTTAGGATCAGCCAATGCCTCCTTTGGGTCTGAGGAATTGAGGTATGGGTAGATGTGTTGATAGATGTAACGGATTTCGCCCTCGGGAAAGACGTAGTCGTCGTAGTTCGTACTGTAGTTAGCACCAAATCTCGGCGCAGGGCTCGTCTGCCCAGTGGTAGGGACGTAATCGTGAACGTCATGCCTCTCAATCTGAAGATTGGAGAATTCAAAGGTTGTGTACGAAAGGCCATAGCCAAACTCGAAGATTGGGGCGTGGCTGCTGCTGCTGTTCCTCGGCGCTGATGCATTGTTATCAACACCCGACTGCCGGTCAAACCAACGGTAATCGATGAAGACTCCCTCGTCGAAATCGCTCTGGGGAGCACCATTGCCATTGTTGGGCTCTCTCAGGACGTCAACGCCGTAGCTCTCAACAGTTGGACCCCAGGTGAAAGGTGTCTTGCCACCAGGGTTCACGCGGCCGTAAAGAATATCGGCGATAGAGTTGCCAGACTCCTGTCCGGGTAAGCCGGCCCAGATGATAGCCGTGATATTGGGATTCTCGTACCAGTCAGTGACTAGAACGGGACCAACCGAATGGATGATGACGATGGTGTTGTTGTTGGCCGCAGCGACTCGTTGAATAAGCTCGTCTCCTCCATTCCAGAGAGTGAGGTTCTTGCGATCACCTTCGTTTCCATCAACGCTGATATATCCTTCGCCAGAGTTTGCATTGACGAAAACCAGAGCAGTAGCATCCGCCTGGGAAACCAAGGCCTCTGTGCGCTCATAATCCCAGTTGCTGAGGATGCTTTCGTATCGCGAGCCATCCGAAACGGCTTGAAACTGAAGAGCACTATCAGGAGTGATGAGATAAGGGAAACTGGCGGTGCCAGATCCCCATCCAGCAGCCAGAGTGCCGTTATTGCAACCCTGATCAGGGCAGCCATTGGGACCAACAGGACGAGGGCCAGCATCTTCACCAATGACAGCAACAAATTTCGGCTTGTTCAGAGGCAGTGATCCCTCATTTTTTAGTAAGACAGTACCGCGGGCAGCGATGGTGCGAATGAGGGCGCCGTGGTCTTGACGGACATCAACGTGTTGGTTGATGACCTGCACATTGTCCTGGGCCGCCCAGTGCAGCGGGCCGATGGTGTCTTTTGTCCAAGACGAGAAGTTGATGTCAGGAACATCGTCCAGGGTCTTTCCAACTTTGAAAAAGGCCGCCATAATACGCATGGCCATGTCATCGAGCCGATATTCGGGAACGGTGCCGTTCAAAATGGCATTGGTAAGGTTAGCGCCCCAGAAGGCGACTCCGGTGTTGAAGCGAGTGTCACCGGGCATGGCCATGTCAAGTCCAGCAACGGCAGTGGCAGCACCAGCATGCTGCGCTTGCCAATCGCTGAGGACGAACCCCTGAAAGCCGAGTTCGTCCTTGAGGAGCCCATTCAGAAGATGTGAGTTTTGACAGCCGTAACTGTTGTTGATCTTGGGCAAAAAAGGTCGGTCAGTGCACTGTCTGCAAGGAAAGAGGAGAGAATGGTATTGCCCCCACCTGTTGATAAGAACACATGACACTGCCGGCTCCAGCACGGACAGCGTCTGCAAATGGCCAAAGGTAAAGCTCATGCATGGTCTTGTCGTCAACGTTCGACGATAATGCCTCGTCGACATCGTAGCCGTAACCTTGAGCCTCGCCAGCCTGGCGGAAATGTTCCTGCTCATTGACGATGTAGTGCTTGACGTTGGCAATAGCACCAGCATCCTGGATGCCCCTGACGGATTCGGCGACAGCAACGCCACTGAGGTAAGGGTCCACGGCGAAACCCTCCCAGTTACGACCTCCGGCGGGAAGGCGACCTAGAGGGCCAATGGCGGGCCCGAGGACGACGTCGACGCCCTTGGCTACTCCTTCGGCGCCAATGGCGTGAGCGCGCTGGTACAGAAGCCCTCGGTCCCAGGTAGCGCCGGCTGTCTGGCTCGAAGTGAAGTACGAGACGTAGTCCGCGAAACGGATACCCTGTGGGCCATCCTGCAAACAAAGCCCCCTCCAGCCGATTCGGGGGATCGAGCCGACGTTTCCGACGCAGAGATCACCGCTCCAGCTAGGATTCTGTCAGATGACTTTGGATGGCAAGACGGGGTCTGTGAAGCTTACCCGACACCTGTCGTCAGGTTGACCTTTTCGAGCAGAGTCATCTGCTCTACCACCTCTCTGGCACGGGCGTAGGCGTCCTCCCACCCAGTCGCTTGGGGGTTCATCCATGGAGAAGGGTAGTGCGGAGGGGAAAAGGCGAGCTCGCTAGAGCTGTTAGTCTGGCGCTGAGGATGCTGGTCAGCATTGTTTCGAATATTAATTCCAAGGGAAACAGAGTCCGTGTCAACGAGCCTTGGCGACGAGATGTCGACAACGGTGGTCAAGGCTCTCAGAAGTAGAATACTGGGAAGAAACATGGCAGTGGGGCACGAGGCATGAACGATTGTGGTGAAGTGAAAGACCGCTCTCTGCGGCCCGAAATTGCTCGAAAATGAAGATGGAGTGGTGCTATGTGCGATGCTTGAAGAGCGTGGGTTCACACACAACAGACGATCGAAAGGGCATGCGCGAACACGGCATGGGTTTGATTCGGGTTGAGGAAAGCACGACTGCTCAATCACCATTATGGTGCGGGTTTGGTTTCCTTGTGAAAAAGAGGCAAGTACGTACCTTGAGCTTGGGTTGTCCCGCAGAGACACACCCGCTGGCTGCCAGTAAGGCAGTAGCGAGGGTCAGCTTCATGGTACCGGTCAAGCTTGCAGTCCGAGGAATGGTCGTCCAATGATGCTCAAAATTTAGAGTATACAACCCTCGGGTAAATGCAGATTTAGGTCCGTCGCAATCTTGTCTGACAGGAAAAGGTCGAGTCTCGGATAGTTGCTTTGCAAGGGTCCCGATTGTAACGGACGTGGCTACTGAAGACCCAGGTTGTCAAGATTTGGAAGGCAGTCGAGGAAGACTGGCCTTATAACCCAATGCTGGACAGCTTCGGGGATTCCGGGTCGTGGGGGACTAAGGTTGGGCAAGGATGGTGGAGGAACAAGGAGAGCTCAGTCAGGGATGGCAGGTGGATATGGGTGCGGCAGCAAAGGGGAGTCGGATGCCAAACAACCTGATTCGTCTTTGCAGAGTGTATGTAAACATGAAGGCGGGCCTGACGATAATATCGAAATACGCCCAAGTGCCGAGCAGGATTCGGCTCGCTACTCAGTCCTTCGGAGGCTGTGGGCCTGAGAACCATGTAAAATGGTCGGCTATTATTCAGTCGATTCGCAACCAGCTGCACATAAGCACTGGCGATCACAAGTAAGGTTCTAGAAGCCATTTTAGGGGACACTGAGCCATGGGAACACAGCGTGTGGTGCTCTGCAGGCGGCCATGTCGGGCAGCCAGTCTCGAGGCGCAAGACAGTTCGTGTACATGTAGACAGGCCATGGGGAGAAAAGGGCCGATCAAGATGCAAGATTGAACCGACTCAGATGGTGGGAAGGACTGGGTAGCAGGGAGTAAGGTGGCAGTGGTGAAGTGATGATCGACAAGGGCACCGCTCAAAGTGGTGAGGAAGTGACGATGTTGACGCACACGGGAGAGGGGTGCAGGGCCTCTGGACGACATCAAAGACACCTATTGCGGCTGCTCAGCTTGGCGTTGCAGGAAGGTACCTCGCCCGTCACTGGCAAGTGCCTGCCAGTGCGCGTCTCCCAAAAACCGATGGGTACCTTAGCCGGCCGGTGCGGGGGAAAATGGAGCTCCTCCCCAAGCTCCCCAGCTTTGTTCGAGTCTCGAGCCCCCCAACAGGATATCATGACTTCATGGCACCATATTGGATGGACCTAAGCCGACGAATGCGACGCTGGACGCTGTTCATGCATGCCCCGGGCGGTGCTGGGACAAAAACACCGACAATCGTCCCCCATGATGGGAGCACAGGCGCGGCTCGCCAAGGGGGATATGGTTGAGCTGAAGCACAAGTAAACAAAACACTGCTACCGGATCCAGGGAGCTGCAAAAACAATGACAGGTGTAAATTTCTTCTTTCGACAACAGGGAGATTCTTTTGAGATGGAGGGCTTGGGCAGCGTCTCAGTTGCCCTTAAGCCAGCTGCAAATGCCTCGTGTCTCTTGCAGGAGTTGGTCCAGATTGACTGCGTCTGGGCAGCATCTGTCTGACGCCTTCATGCCGAAGAGCGGCTGGTGGGCACCAAGCCGCATACTTGCATCAAGCTTGCGGCCATGCTCTCTCACCAGGCCGCCTCACTTGGATGGATGACCCAGCTCCAGCCTCAGCGTGACGCAACTTTCAAGGTGACAGTGCCCCACTGTGTATCGAATGACCTTGCCCCCTCTTCTCCCTTCCACACTCGCATCTGAGCCTCCTCTGTAGGTACCTCCGCTGAAAGCCACCCGCTGCAAGCTCCAACCGCCATGCCCCACCCACATCCTGAACCGTCGATCAAGAGCCCTCTCCCCTCCTTTCTACGGCCTAACACGATCTCTTCTCTCTTCCCCACGCCGAGGTCCGGCTTACATGGGGACGCCGAGGCATCGATCGCGGGGTAGGAGATGGAGGGGCTGCCTGGTCCTGGTAGTTAAGCAGCCATTCCCTTCTTCAACGGTTAGTGTACGAGGTGCCCGCGCGGCGGTCAGGCCGTTAAGGTGAAAATCGTACAATCCAGAACCAAATAAGTGCTCCAATAGGCTTGTTAGCCAAGAGACACCACGCAGACCTTCCCCGCCCCGATGGACGGGTAGCAGTGTCATAGGCCCTATATGTGTTAGATTCTGTTGTAGTAGTTCTGTTTCCCAAGCCGGTCACTTGAGCTGCGGAATCCAGCTGTGTTTAAGCTATTCGGATTTGTCACTGTGTCCACAAATCCTTCATTCAAATGGTTGGGGTCGGTAGGTTTCAACAAGTTTGGGTAAAGAACAGCTTTAAAACGTATAACCAACTGTATCGAGTAAAGTAATTTTACATCTGCGCCTCTACTCCGCATGGCGCAGTGCCCGCCATCCGGGCTTGAGTCCCAAAATCCCAGGCCCGGCGAGCCGCGAGTTTGTGCCATGTCAAAACCCGCTGTCGTGCCCGGACGCGCATCCTAACCCCACAGTCTGAAGTCATGGGTCGTGAAGAAAAGGGCCGAAGGTATGCAGGCTGATGGGGAGATCCGTACCGCCTAATACACGCCAGGAAGAATCTTCCACCTGACAATCTTCTTGTACTTCTCCCAGTCATCACCGTACTTACGTGCGCACTTGTCATCGTCGCGGCGGTCACGGTGGATGAGCAGGATCGCGAAGTAAAGCACGTAAAAGTACGTAACAGGAATGCCCCAGCCGCGAGCAGCACCCTGCACCACCTCACGACCGTCGAGGGTCTTGAAGGCACCCTCTACGCCCTGCTCAACTAGGCCGGAACCCGCTGTCAGAATCTGGTAACCCGACATGCCTGTGGGAAGAGAGTATGGCCACGCCTGGAGCCAATCGCCAAGGTAGTTGATGTGGCGGGCGACACCCCACCAGCCAGAGATGAGAAGGCGAGTGCCAGCCTTGGTCTCAATGTACTTGAGATGGGCAACGCTGGGGTCGTTGGGGTTGGTGCGGAACTTGTTCTTCTGGTTGTTGGAGGCACGGAAGATGTAATAGGCCAGGCAGATGGTAGCTCCAATGGTAGTCACCTGAAAGGCGTTCAGGGATACGGGGTACATCGACAGGTACCGCGTCTGCATAGAGTAGATGAATGGAAGCCATGCAATGTCGCCAAAGGATAGCATGAAGCCGAACCCATCGGTGGTAATGTCGATGGTCGTCAGAATGGCAGGCTCGTTCCACCAGCAATCTACCGTGTAGAGGAACTGAATGGCCGAAATGAAGATGATGCTGTTGGAGACGAAGCCAAATGTGCGGTACTGCTTGGCGATCCAGGCAAAATTGAGGATGGCCCAGCCGAGAAGGCCAGGGCGGACCTCCATCCAGTGCTTGATGTCAACCTCGCCAATGATTGGGATCGTGACGCGCGGGTTGAGCTCGCGGCCAATGAACCAGTCGTAAATGAGGTTGCCTGAGTGGCCACCCTCGGCAAGCTCGCGGTTCTCCTTGTTCCCAGGCTTAACGCTGAAGCTGCGAACGTAGACATAGGTGGCAATAACAAACGCCAAAATCATATTGGCTGTGAGAATCTGTATATAGTTGTCGGAGATGTAGACCCAGAGAGCCCAGTCGGCGCCCTCAAGGGCAGTCCCGGCGGCAAGGATCGCAACGATGAACATGCTCGATGCAAAAGCTGGGAATAATTAGAACTCGGTGATTGAGTAGAAGGGAAGGAAGTACAACATACAGTTGAACCTATACTTCAACTTGCCGCCAGAGGCCAGTACGACACCATCAACTTCCTGAGCAGGAAGGAATCGGTACAGTAGGGCGTTGAAGAAGAAGTACCCAACAACGGCTAGAGTAGCGTTGAAACTACCTAGGCCCCAAATGCCTTCTTCTGGCCATCCAACCTCACGCTTAAGCTGCGCCAAGTCGATATTCTTCGGGTCGAGGAGAGACGGGGCAGGGCAGCCGGAGACGTCGTTGCAGGCGAATGCGAGGGCGTACACGACAATAGGGAGGATGGTAGAAACGCCGGCGGTACCCCAACTAGAGACTGTCAGTCCGATTCTGCCTTGTCCTTCTTGGGTAAAACTTACGGTCCGCCGAAGTGGTAGCCATGAGGCGGGGCGCTAGATGCGACCTCCTTTTTCAGTCCAGCCATGGTGTAGTTGGGGTCTGTCCTGTTGACCCTGGTGTACTGCTGGTTGATGGGCGCGCAGGCTCTCTCTCTTATGGAAGAGGGAGAATAGGCACTGCTCGGAATGCGCGGGGGCCGATTGGCGACAGTTGGCGCGAACTTGAGGAAGGCCCAACAGAAGCTTTGCAGCCGGGGTCCTTGACTTCCGGGTGACCTGACGAGTTGAAGCACGGTCGGGTTGATTCAATTTCGATGATGCTCACACTTGATTGGTCCCTGGAGCAAGTCAATCGACAACATGGGGCTCGGAGGAACCAAATGACCGCCCCACACTACTGTCGGGTAGGATCTCTTCCATATCGAACCATGCTGGGCAACAGACCCTCGTACTCGTAATGAGGAAAGCGTGACTGGCCGATTTGGCCATTCTTAGACCTCGTTGACTGTGTTGACTACCTAGGTACGTCAGTACCTTCAGTATTCGCATCGCAGGGACATGCATTGCCTTGTGCCTTGAGAACATCAAGTCCCAAGATGACCAGCCGGCAGTTAGATTGAAGTGATGAGGTCACTGTGGATTCGTCACACGGGTATTTCTCGGATGAATGGTGTCCTGTCGCCTTCGCTCATCTCTCCACTGTCGGCCACCAGTCAGCAGGTCTTATTACACCCAAGGCGGTGCCGACAGGTAGGTCGAAATGGTGGATGGCTTGGCCAGCCCGCCAATTGCCGCGTGTCTTGTACGAGGCTGATGAATGGCCAGGTGTTCCATGTTCGATACCTCTACCAATTTGGCTTGACAAGAGACATTAGACTGTTGAATGCACATGACGACTTTGACGTCAGGCTGATTGACAACCGCGACCTGCAGCTCTGCTATTCTCCTTCTATCGATCCGCCTCTTTCAATTGATGATATTAGCATCGCTTTTTCGACGCGTCCCATCGCGCCACCCGGCGCCTTCAATTACTCTCCACGGCGACCCCCTGAGCTGAGACCATTGAAACACGATGCATTTCCCTACGAACCGCGCTCTCACCCTGCTCCTCGCCGCTTCGGCAAGCGTCTCGTTCGCTGCGGAGGAAAAGCCATCGACGACACCTAGCCCACCGGCGTGTACAGCTGTTTCAAAGACGAGCGGCGCATTCTTTGACCTTCGACCCGACATTGCCGCAATCCCCGAGGAGGGCAAGACTGCGAAAAGTGGTTCGGCAACGAGCGATTACCACGCAAGGGGATATGATTATGGACGAAACTTCACACTCAACATTTGCGCGCCGGTCGCGGATCCTGTCGAGCATGTCGTGGGGCTAGGCAAGGACGAGTGGAAAAACGTCAGCGCCTACTACACATACAAGGATGAAGTCTACTCTATAGGGTTCGTTGCCATGAGTCTTTGGCCGGTGCCGTCGGGACAATGACTGATTGATGTGCTACAGACAAACATCTCTAGATCTTCAAAGCCACGGCCGCATGCTCGTCCTACAATATACAGGCGGATCACCATGCGGGGCGGATAAACCCAAGGATAATAACAAAACGAAGCGCGAAGATTCGCACGATTCCTACAAGGGCTCTGCCGGAGAGAAACTCGCCGAAGCGACAGATTCCGGCGACGAAAAGAAGAACAAACCAGTCCGCCGCAAGTCGGCGACCCTGTCCTTCCACTGTGAGCCGGAGCAGCTTGCAGGCCAAATAGGCGTCTCCTTCGTGAGCACCGACCCTGAAGAATGCGCCTACTTCTTCGAGATCAGATCGGCACATGCCTGCGCTCGCGCAGAACCGCACCAGCCTGGCAGTGTCGGCCCCGGCAGCGTCTTTGCCATTATTTTTGCCATTGCCGTGCTCGTGTACTTTGGCGGCGGTGTGTTCTACAACCGCACTGTAGAGCACGCCCGCGGTTGGCGTCAGCTGCCCAACTATACTCTGTGGGCGGGCATCTGGAACTTCATATGCGTACGCTTCCTCCTGCTCGGGCGACTGCTTAAGCGACTCCTATGCATCTTTGCTTCGCGGTCGCCTCGGAAGTGATCTGTCCATGGCTGACGTGTGCGTGTTCAACAGGATGTCTTCTATGCAGCCCTTTCGCTGTGCTCGAGGCTGCTTCCTGGACGACGAGGCTACAGCCATCTGGCTGGCTCACCGAGTAGGAGTCGGAACCGAGAGGATGAAAACCGTTTGATTGACCAGCTAGATGAGGAGTGGGATGATTAGAACGTAGACTGTATAACATTGGAATGATTAATTGACCTTAGACGTGCTTTTTTTCCCCGCGAATCCATGGTGTTGCTGTTTCGGACGCTTTGGATTTGCAGGACTGTCTTCAAAGATCGTTGCCGAATTTCGCCGTGTGCCTACGTCTCGGTGACGTTCGGTGAGATCTGCACACGTCACTGCCTAGTAGCCTCCCTTGGCCTTCAACCTGACCAAACTCCAGGTCTTCCATCACCACGAGCCAGAAATTGCGATTTGCCACCACATCATCTCGCCATGCCTCTCCCCACAGTCCCCCATAGGCTTCCCGAGGTGGTGCAGGCTGCTTTCGGCCGGGCCAGATCCCAGGGAGACCTCACCTACTTCGAGACTCAAGTGACGATTATTGCCCCCAGCTCCATACCCGTACGTCGGCGAGCTTGAAAGACTTGGTTGCGAAGTCCTTCACTCACATGACTTACAGTTCCAACTACGATTTGCCCCAGCTTTGGCAAGTAAACCTACCGCGCCCAAGTCCAAAACTGCCGCCACAACACAAAAGCCATTCGACCCTTTCGAGAGCCCAGAGAACGGTCCTCTTTATGTTGGTGAAATCGCCCCGGCACACAACCTCGTTCTCAACAAATTCGCTATTGTCCCTGAGCACTTCATACTCGCCACCAAAGATTTCAAGGAGCAGACTCATCTACTCGAGGCCAATGATCTCGCCGCGACGTATGCCTGTATCGAAGCATACCGACAATACGGTCTTGACACCAATACGGATGGTGAGTTGTTCGCCTTCTTCAACAGCGGATCTCATTCGGGAGCGAGCCAGCCCCACCGGCATATTCAGTTACTGCCAGTAGCTCAGATGAAGGCTGGCCTGGAAGACATCGGGGACTGGACTATTTTGGCCGATCGGCTTGATCAGAAAGATGCACCGTTCAAGACGTTTTCCAGCGACATTGGGCATGAGACCTCGATGGAAAGGCTACATGAGATTTACTTGATCCTCTACCGTCGTGCTGTTGCGGCGGTAAAGGAGCATGTGGGAGAATTGGATGATTCCCCCAGGTCAGGTTCTGGTAAAGCTGAAATCAGCTACAACATGGCATTAACGAAGACGCGACTTGTGGTCTGCCCTCGCCTACGTGACGGTGTTACTGTTCAGACAGGAGACAGCCGGACAGAGGTGACTTTGAGTCTCAACGGCACGGTTCTTGCAGGAACAGCGCTTGTCAAAAGTGAAGCGGAGTGGGATGCACTACGCGAGGATATCGACATGGGTGCATCCACCTTAGCGGCCATTTTATCAAGAATCGGAATCCCGACTGCCGACAGCAAGTCAGGTAGACTTTGAGATGACATGTATTGAAATCAGCCTTTGTCGGCGATTCGTCCATTTTTATTTTTCAATTTGTGACGAAAAAAAAAAAAAAATCAAGCAAACACGCCGTGCCCAGCAATGGCAAACCCTCGAGACGCTCTGCAAGACACGCAAACATGGTGATCAACACCAAGATCCCTCGTTTTCGAATTCAGCCGGCGGCATTAATCGAACCCACCCTCAATTCCAACTTCATTGATTGAGTCGGTCACCCCAAGTGCCTCCCAGCTAGACCAGTCTCCATCTCCTGAATGAACCCCCCCCCAACCCCCGTGTCATCGAGTCTACTCCATGCACTCCTCTTCGTCGCCGTAATCACCGTTCTCGTCTCCATTCTGAACAAGTTCATCCCACTTCTTTCGACATGTTGCATTGCCAAAGAGGTAGGAACCGCCCTTTTGCTGGATGTACTCAGCCACTTGCTTCCAAGGTACTTTCATCCGACCATTCTCTGCTTCCTTGGCGAATTTGGCCACCCCTTTACGAAGGAGTTGAACCTGCCAAAATAATCGTTAGCAGTCTGCTGAAGAGAAGCACTTGGCGGGACCAGGTAAGGAAAATACATGCATCTTGGTCTTCCCATTCTGGCCTGCGCACCCTCTCTTCCTTCTTCTTCGTCAGCGTGCGGTACCGCCCGCGAAGTGTGCTCTCAGCTTCGCGGAAGCCTCCTGCTTTCCGTATCTCACGATATGTCATGCCCTCACGCTTTGAGCGGAGGAGAAATTCGTCCTTGGCCAGGCGCTCCATGCTCCAGTCTGTAGATGACACGGGCTTGACCGGCGCATGTAACTGGTCCCTCTGTATCGGCATGGATACCGGAACTGTGCCCTGGACAGAAACCGGAGGGTTTGACATGATCTGACAAGACTTTGGCCTTGCCAAAACGCCATTGGAGGGCTTCGGCGAGCCGGATCGTGGCTTCAGGGACTTGGTTGCTCTGTCTGGAAGCTCTTTGCGGATGCCAGCAGCACCCTTGGACTCGGCTGTCTTTGGCTGAATCGCCCGATTCGAAAATTGCTTTGACTTCGAGGTTCGGCCAGGCTTGCTCTTGCCTCTTTTGGTCTTGACCGGCAATCTTGACGCAGTGTCGGGCGCGTCTGCTATCTGAGAGTTCCCTCCGGCTTCGAGCGCCGTTTCTCTTCCCATGTCAGACATACAGGGCGAGGGCATCCTGCTGCGGAGGTCTTGTGGGTAGAGAGTTCGAGAGCTCGAGGATTGTCCTTCAAATTGCGAGCAGGAGCTGGACTCGAAGGGATGAAAGGAATCGGCAGCACCGCTGCTACTGGTTGAGCTGAAGGAGCTACTGACAGCACCAAGACCTTGGGAGACACTGGTGTCTTGCGAAGCAGAAGAGAAACTGCCGAAAGTTTCCAGAATGCAACCCGGGTTATCAACCAAGTCGTTGTATATTGCTGTGCCAAAATGATGGGCAGAAAGACCGTGCATAGGTACAGTCTGATGGAGCCCCTGATCAACCTGACCATGAGGCAAAGGTGCCATGCCATCTGGGATTATGCCTTCTATCATATCGTGAAAAGAAAACTCTGGGAACTGGGATGGAATGGGATGGATGTGGTGTGGATAGGACGATAGAGTGGTCGGCACATGTTGCAAACCCATGTCGTGATAAAGCTCTGTACGTGAATAGGGGCTTCCGGCTGACCCTGACAGGTATCCGTTGTGGAGCTGTTTGTCCTTGCCTCATTGTTAGCAGTTGCCTGACATGACAAGCAGATGAGGAGTATATGTTTCTGTCACATATCGAAATGTGGTGCATCATGCACGAATGGAGAGGCAAAACTGTGGGCTGTGATCAAGCCAACACGTACCTCGAAGCTGTCTGACAGACTGTCAGCCCCCTGTGTCGGCCACTGTCCCGTGTTTTCCATCATGTTCTGCTTGATCGGAAAGCCCCGGTCATGAAGGTGCTGGGAGTTTCTCCGCAATATTTGATCATAAGGATGGTGAATCGCTTGCTTTACGTGGCTGCAGCCCGAAGGAATACCGCGTGGTTGATTATCCAAGTAAAAGTGCGGCTGCGATGAGCAGGTGTAGTGTCGCAAAGACCCTAGATATGGAGTGGCAAAGCTCTCTGGGCAAGCTTCTCGAAATACCGCCCGGGGCGCGTCTCTGTTGATAAACATCTTTAGACTCGGATTCACTCGGATGTGCCGATAGATGAACAAAGTGGTCCTGGAGTCAGTGTCAGACGGCAAGACGTGTACACCGCTTGTTCTATGCCTTCCACTGGGCTTCTGCGCGTTGTCTGAGTTGAGCGCGCAGGTATGGGGTTATGCGATGTGGATGGCCGTCTGCGAGAATGACTGGCGTATAGATGGTCTGGAGCTGGGTCTGTGGTGCGGAAAGGACAAGTGACACAGGAGGTGTGAGGTGCCGGCGGTGGCAGCGTGGAGGAGCTCGGTGACTCTGAGTATTCTTCAACTCGGTATCTTGTTAATTGTGGAAAATACGCGTTTGACAGCTGTACATGCTCAAGGGCGCGTTTGGAGAAGTATTTCAAAATGTCTAAATTTTCAAGTGCTGGGTCTGACAGTTATGCCAACCTGAAGGTGTAAGCCTTGTTGACCTGGGGTTGGGAACGTGTCGGTCGATTTTTTTGATTGTAGAATGAGAAGTATCAGGGAGCTCTCGGGGCCCGTAAGAAAAGCAGCTTATCGAGTGCATGGCATGAAATAGGAGGTCCCATGATCTTGTTAAAAAACCAATAGATGATGGCTCCATTGTAGCCCCACGCTCACATTGTGTAGGAAAGAGACTCATCACATTTCGACTGAATGTATCTTGACATTATGCCTGCTCCAAGCAGGGACTGCGTCCCGTAGCGGGACGGGTAGCTCGTCGTCTTGCCCGGGCATGTTTTACACAGGAAAGTTGAATGCCCCGGCTCATGAGATGCCAGTAAACTGTTCCGCACGATGGCAATCTTCGTTCCAAAAAGGAACGAAATCAAACTTTTTTTCATTTGAGGTGGAGGACCATCAATGAGGACACACATAGCTGCAGAAAATCGAAATTCTGTCGTCAATGATAGCCGTAGGGATATCACAAATAGGAATGGTGGGCCGGAGGCGAGATCCTTGATGCTCGAAGCGCTGACCAACAATCATGACCGAGAACATCCAGTCAGCTTTGGGACTTCCTGTCTAGCCAGATGGAAGATATTTGATACGAGAATTCCGAGCCCTTGATATGAATCTAGACATTTTTGTTACAAACTGTTTAGTTTTCAAGGCTGGTGTCATCATGCGTAGAACCCCAAGGACGGTCACCCCAGTCATAGTACCATAGTCAAAGAAGCAGCCGCCTCCATGGCCATATGTGACGACCGCTCGATCTGGCTGACGTTGCTTCCTCAGGCCTTGATTGTTTCCGCATCCCGGGTGCTTGGGTGAGTTGTGAGGTGTCACTGCTGTTTGCGGGTTGACCGGTCCAGTGCATGGGTGGGGAAGTTAGGAAAGGTCAAGATCCAGGGAAGCCTGAACATTCGCCAAGACAAGGATGCTTGCCCCCTCAGGCATGGCCAATGTGAGTTGCATGAGCCCCTGGGCGTGAAGAAGGGTTCCACAAAGTGGCGTATTCAGGCCGGCACTTGCAGATGCCACGGTTTTCGATTCGCTGCCCGCTCAGCATGGACATGGCAGTGGCCAGACTGCTGACCTTGAGCAGACTGCTCATCGCCTGAATGAAGGGATCTGTGGCAACAAGAAGAGTGACCCCGTGCAAATCTGGCTGGCCACCAACTCACTGATTTTCGTGCTGGTCATGTCTCTTTGGAGACCCCAGACATCTCCACAATGAATCGGTGAAGTTGCGATAGGGTCTTTTCTTTAGCCTCGGTAGCCCTAGCTTTTGTGCCCAAGGTCCGGGAACCCGGTTGTGCCACAACAGTAATCGGCTGATTGCTTTGGCTCATGCATCTCAAGAACCCCAGCATGCGTCCGATCGTTTGACAGCTAGGGCCAAACCGGGGACCAGCCATCCGGACCCGTACCGAAGGCTGGATTTCCCGAAGTTTACTCGAGTGTTTGCGCATTACCAGAAGGGGCCATCTTGGGTCATCAGCTGAATTCTCACATATGATATCATGGTCGCTTGCCGTAATGAGCTCGCTGTGAGCTGTGGTCCTCTTTGGCGATGTTCAAAAGTAGGTAGCTCGTTGGCCCCTCCTGCTGGACGCCGCTGAACATAACGGAGGGATCAATGGTCTGGATCCAAAGTACATACCCCTGCAGTATGGTATGCACAATTCATCCAACAAAAAGACTTTGGCAGAAAACGCCGCAGTGGTTCGAGAGCTGTGAAGGGAGCTTACCGCTGTTCGCAGTGGGCGAGCCTAACGACGGGCCACAGCACCCGCATCAAAGAACCTGACCACGTAGGCCCCGGCATCTTTCCTCCCCTCCTGCTTCAGGGTTATTGGTGGAACTCCAGTGGCTAGAATTTCGTCAGATTTGACCTACATGGATTATTGGCAACCAAGAGAGCAGTCTTGAGACCATCAAAGGCTGCGAGAGACAAGATTTCCCCCTCAACTGAGGAGAAGCAATGATTCTTCTCCAAGGCTATCTTGGCAAATATTCAAACAATGAAGGCTCGGCCTGATACCTCGTCGGGCCATATGAAGTCAAGTAAAGTCCTTTGAAACTTACCTGCCAACCTAGACGACCTCGATATTCCCACTAAATTAGAACGGTCTTTCTACTCAAGAACATGACCAAACCGACTTTCCTAATGATTGAAGTTTTTCAAATGACGACATCCCCGTAGCATGTCTTGCACCTCATCTCCGGAGCAGAGTACCATCGGCCTCCACGTCGGCTTTCATCCTAGGATTACGAAGGAGATAGCGCCGCTTATCTCGATTTGAAGCTGATCATCGCCGGTCGTCCCGACAGTCGATCGCCTGCAGCTCGGCAAGAGACGCAGGCCAGATGGGAGTGGCAAGCTGCAAACGACTGCCGTGCAGGAGTCCCCTCCGAGACGCCTTGCGGCTTGTCCCTGGGCATTGCCCGCGCACTCCAGAGCTGATTGCGGTGAGTGCTCTGAGCGCTTCGAGAGCGATTTGGTCCAGGAACTTGACGGACGCGAGAACGTAGAATCGGGATGAACCTTCCCATCGGCGATAGTCGATGCTTCTTGTTGTCTCCCAAACCATAGCAGTCTTGCCCGGAGCGGGGGAACAAGTAGGGTGACCGACTTCCCGGAGGAGACCTGCCAGGTGGGGACAACCCTGCGTAGGAAGTCACGATTCTGCAGTTTTCTCGCGGGCTTTCAGAACCTTGATCGTGCTTCCCGAGACAGAAGGCTACGAGCATTGCTTCCCCATAATAGTGCATACCCTGCTCGTCGCTCTGTTTCTCGGTGGCGAACTAGATCAGGCCGTCAGCAAGCTTCCGAGACAGGCGAACTTATGCGAGAGATTAGCGGTGGCGTGTTGAGTTCGGTGCGAAACATTTTGAACATGCTTGATGACAAGTGTGCTAGTCTTCAGGTAGAGGCTCTCTCATCTGCCCACACGATCAGGGAGAGAAGAGGGACGAGAACATAAGAGTAAAGATGCTTTTTCTTTTTGCCCTCGTGACTATGCTAATCAGGTACATCAGCACTTCTGTCTCCCATACGCCTGACTCCCCCGGAAATAGTGACAGGTCGTTCGCCAAGACGCCTCCTCCGTTTCCTCATTACAGTGATGCTCAGCATAGCTTGATTATTTCAGCAATACGACGGATGCGATTCCCGTGGTTACATCATCTCCGAGACCGTGACTTGGTGCTTTTGGCGCAGCAATCGATTCGCGTCGTCCTCACACTCCAGGCAATCCGACAACCTGGCGGAGTGCCGGCACAAATCGTGGAAGTACATATAGGGTGTACAGTGCGGTCAGAGCGGTCAAGAGCCCAGTAAACTGTTCCGAGTTAGCAAGTCTATAGCAATGCCTTGATGTGTGACTTGACAGCCTTACCTTCTCGAACCAAGTGTGGAAGTAAATGGCCGTCATGAGCAGCATCCACGAGCTCAGAGCCACAGCCGCAAGGGCGGCCTTGCCTCCGAGTCCCAGACTGTCCTCCTGAAGATCAGCCCTCTCGACGCCACCCTCCGATTCGACGCCAGCGCTCTTGACGGCGCCATCATTCATGACGATGGCCCTCTCCTCCCTGACGCCCCGGTGGCGCAGATACGCCCAACCGACCTCCTGTAGCAAGAACCCACTGGCCAGGACCAAGAGGAAGACGTGTCCCGAGATGTCGTGTCCGCCCTTCCACGCGCCCCCGGCAGCCTTGCAAGCCACAGCGCTCACAAACTCGCCGACATCCGCATCCCCGTCTTGTACCTTGTCCACAACCACCTCGCAACGGCCGCCCGTCCACCGGAAACTGCGATCAATAATCGCCGGCCCAAAGCACCACTGCGTGACGAGGAACCACAGTGCCGTGGCGACAGCCCACCTCACGCCGGCCTGCATACGCCTCTTGGTATTCTGGAG